ATCCCAGTACAAAATACACGTCAAATGGGACTATGAACTCCTGAGATAATGAGGCCTTCCAATATTTGTGTCAGAAGGCATCTTTGAGCCCAAAAAATGTGAGTTTAGTGCAGATGCGTTCTGTCTTACTAACCCCAAGGAGTTCGCAAAATGACGAGTTAACCATTAGACGGATTGGTCTCGTCAGGGAATGAGTTGTGCTTCCCAAGGTAAGCTATACAAATACGATGGTCCAGATCTAGTAGGTTCCGCTTGTTATAGTCATCATCATTATCAACACAGGACCAGGCATTACTGCGTAACGGTCCGAGTTGCCATACCTCATATCAGCACATCAAGTAAAAAGGTAGTGAGGTGAAGGATGAAGATAAGTGAATGCAGTCAAAAGAAATATAAAGTAAAAAAAGAAAAGAAAGAGGAGTGACAAAATGGTGAGATTCGGTATAGCGTTGTTAAGATGAGGATAATGTGTGTATACATCTGCGCCACTGACTTCGGTTCTGAGCCATATCACCTAGGGTCTCCAACCACTGGTTCCTCTTGTCCCGCGAACCCCAACCACCTAGTCTGCATCGTCCTACATAGCTTAAACCAACAGTCAGAGACTTCATACATTGGTGCCATGTTTTAGTCTGGCCACTTCAGGCCTTTTTCCAGCCTGGACCCACCTCAGCCAACATTGTGTGACGAGGCAATCGGTGACTAGGCATACGTAGTACGTGTCCCAACCATCTCAGTCGATGAAGGTTCACAACCTCGTCAACTGACTTACCTCTTCCCCCCAAAACTCTACACCTAACTTCTGCATTACTCATGTGGTGACACCACGGAATACGTCCTATATTACGAAGGCAACGGTGGTCAAACACCTGAAGCCTTTTTGTATCCTCCACTTTCAGTGGCCATGTTTCACAGCCATACAGTAGAACAGAGCGGACTGCTGTGCAGTACACGCGACCCTTAATAGACAGTCGGATATCACAGAGGCGCCATAGGTGGCGTAAGATGGCAAAAGCCAATCGGGCCTTTTGTATCCATGCCGAGATTTCATCGGCCACTGAGCTAGCACCAGGGCTGATCCTACTTCCCAGGTAAGTGAAGTGGTCAACACACTCAACCACTTCACTCTCTATTGTTAACCGCGGTACCGCTGAAGACCAGTCCTGGAGCAAAAATTTGCATTTGGGTGGTGAAAATCGCATCCCAAACATTCTCAAATTCCCACTCAAAGTGTTCAGAAGACTCTGCATCTTGTCAGCGTCTTCACCTAACAGGACTATGTCATCTGCATATTCTAGATCTAAGGAAAATTCACCTGTGATCCGGTCAACGTCTTTGTAATTAGGTGACGAGAGGGAAACCTCCATAAGAATATCTATGATAAAATTAAATAAGAATGGGGATAGTGGGCATCCTTGACGGACACCACTTGATGAGTATAGCTCCCTGGACAACTCACCATAGGCTCTAACATGCCCACAAGTGTTCGAGTAGAGAGCTTTCAATAAGGTGATGTACTTACTAGGCACGCCTTTCAGTGACAGACACTGCCATAAGACTTCTCGATCAACGGAGTCAAATGCCGCCTTCAGGTCGAGAAATACAGCTATTGTCGGGCGTCTGTAAGCATGCCTATGTTCCAGGACCTGGCGCAGTGTGAATATTTGGTCGATACATCCACGGCCAGGTCTAAAGCCTGCCTGGTTTTCTCGGGCTTGCTGTTCCCGAGCTCCACTCAGGCGTCGGAGAATTATAGAACTTAGGATCTTAGACACTATGTTTGTCAGGCTGATTCCTCTGTGGTTATCACAAGAGGACTTCTCGCCTTTCTTGAAGACTGGGATGATGAGTGACTTAGACCAGTCGGAGGGGATCGTATTTGATTCCCATATACTGGCTAACACTTCCGTTAGCCTGACTAAGAGAACTCTACCACCATTCTTGTATACCTCAGCAGGTAGTCCGTCTGGTCCTGCTGCCCTTCCCCGTTTCAGGCTACCTACCGCTTTCTCAACTTCTTCTAGTGTTGGGGGACCTGTCTCTATGTCCCATTCAGGGTCCGACTGGATAGCGGGCAGCGCAATGGTGGCTGGAGGCCAGTTAAACTGTTCCTCAAAGTGTTCTGCCCATCGTCCCAGTCGCCTTCCCTGCGAGTGAATCGCCGATCCGTCCTTCTCCGCTATAACCTCACTAACTGTTGTTGACCATTTCCCCCCAGTCTCCTTAATAAGTCTAAATAACTGTCTACTGTTACCGATCGCCGCTGCCTTTTCCATCTCTTTAGCCTTTGCTGCCCACCACTGTTCACGATCGTTGCGCAGACTTTTCGTCAGTTTATTTTTAAGTTGCGCTCGCTCTTCATTGTACTCAGAGCCTGCAGGGATGCATTCACGTGCATCCATTAGTTTGGAAGAAGCTGCTGATATCCACTGGCTCTTTTTAGCCATTATCTTGGAGTCGGCTACAGTCTCCAGTGCTGCTTTTACAGTAGACTGAAGATGGCACCAAGCTTCTTCTGGATGAGTGACAGTCTTTTGTTCCGATAACTGCCTAGCCAACTTCTCACTGAACACGGCTTTGGTGTTTTCGTTGTCCAGCAGAACTCGTAGTGGTTTTGTTGCCAAATTTTTTCTACGTCCATTGAGACGCAGGCATATACGTGCTCGGACCAACGCATGATCGCTGTCCAAACACGTACTCCAGAAGGAGCGGCAGTCTTCCACCGATCCTCTCCAGCGATGACTAATAGCAATGTGGTCTATCTGTGTCCATCGCTGAGTCGAGCTCGGTGGACGCCAGGTCAGACAGTGCCTTTCTTTATGTCTGAAATTTGTGCTGGCTAAAAATAGGCGGTTATCTGAGCATAGTTGTAATAGGCGATCACCGTTATCTGTACGTTCAGCTGGGATTCCGAAAGTGCCACCTAAGTGCCTTTCTGCCTCACTCAGTCTACCCACCTGTGCGTTGAGGTCACCTGCAACAACCACTACGTCCGAACGTTTGGCTTTCGAGAGGAGGTTAGACAGTTTATGGTAGAACTCGTCCTTCACTTCATCCGAACTGCAGTCAGTGGGTGCGTAAGCAGAGATTGTTGTAGACAGCCTCACGAACTGTCTTCCCAAGAAGCTAATCCAACTTTTTTGTCACTCATCTTCACGTTAACTCACTCATATCCTTTAAACAGTTGGTGAATCATCCAGAACCAACACTAGTGTATCCAAGTATTAAAACCTGTCCATCATAACTATATCACGGCTCTTATTATCATTATCAGAACATGGTACAGCAAAGGCACCAAGAAATCCGTCGCACAAGACAATAGAACATTATGAAGACATAAAGCGAAGGGAAGTAGATAAATAAAAAGGAAACAAGATAAGAATTGGATGATTAGAAAGACAGTCCAATGAGAAATATTCAAAACAAAACACTCATTACTTTTCAGAGACAGAAGCTAGAACGAAGCTACAGAATGACCGCTTCTGGTTTCGATCCTGAGCTATATCTCATAACGTCTCAAGCCACAGAGTTGGGTGATCTTTCGCACCACACCCAGGAAGTTGTTATGCACCAGCAGATGCTCACCCGATACAACTACCCTTCATCCCACGGTGCCACCCCTCCACTTTTCCCATCCAGTCCCAGGGTTAACGAACAATGAACGGTGTGGAAGCTGTTGGAACATGAGTAACACGTCCAGTTTACTGAAGCAGGTGTTTTCAGATGACTTCACTTATTGAATGATCTCCACCACGCCCAAACACACCATCGTACCTCAGAATTACTTGCATGGTGTTGCCACCAGATACGAGCAATTTGACGGAGACAACGATGACTGAACACGTAGATTCGTCGAACATCCTCAGCTCGGAGAGATCAGGTTTCACAGGCAGATAGCAGAACTGCTCGCACTGAAGGGTTGTTAACCCGATCTTTTAGGGTCAGACTAACGTCACCAGAGGTGGCCGAGATTGGCCTGTGCTACTCAGGCTTTCCGTATGCCGTAAGAAATTTCATCACTCACACTACCCAGATACACGAACTTTGCGACTATTTCCAACGTCTCACCACTGAGGGTGAGCGCAGCCACAGGGTTCTGTCAATCTTACAAAAGTAATTTGCACTTAAATGGCGCAAAGCGCATCCTATACTTATGCTTTTGTTATTCATCAGGTTTACGAACACTATCTAGTTTTCCTTAGATAGAGCTGAAGGTTGATGAAATATTAATGTCATCTTTACTAGCAATACCTGCAAGCCGAGATTTCAGCTTGCTGCATTTCAGACTTTGTCCATTAAGACAAGCCATCAATGTTGCATTGTGTTGGCGACTTTAATTTCCGAAACTCTAGACTAACTATAGTCTTACGATGTTTCCTCCATCCATTTCAAATCATACTTTTGTTTTCTGAATTTGGTTCATTCCTATACTCAAAACAATGAGTACTAGTCAACTACCTATTACACTCATGCAGTGCGTGACGTCAATTTCCTTACTATCAGTTAGAGAATATCCAGTCGTCCTACTATTGACAATCTTTGAAGTCGTAAGAATTTCATCCATTTCTAAAGGTTTTGGTCATTCTACAGTCATTAAGTTTTTCATCTCAATCAATACATTACTGTCAACTTTATGACAGCACTGTGAACTTTATAGGCAGGCAGTTGAAGAGAACTTACGAACTGACACCACTTTACTATGACTATTGTTATTCTTGTAATAAATCACTAGAAGTGAAGCTGATTGCGTTGACATGTATAAAAACCAGTTGACCGCTCAACATTTTTAAGTTATAACAGTACAGTACATTACACTTTGCGATTACATACATATATATTTGACCGAGTGATCCTACACGACTCGAAATAGCGCAAGTATGACAGTAGTGAAGGTAACAGTCTCAAACTATCATAGCTGGTTAATACATCCCAACGTGGCTAATCTGTATCAGCGAGAAAGTATATTAGACCGTCGACTGAGTTCATAAAACGATCAGAATAGTTAAATATATTTTTTATTCATATAAATACTGCACTTTTTGCATCATTTACATGTACTTACTAGTCTTGATGTCTTTGTGATATAAATATTATGAAATAATTGGGGAATCTCAACTGGAATAAAAAATGCAGCAAATGTCAGGTACTTCAGGATCGACAAAGAAGTAAAATTGACAATTATTGTACAGAATCAGTTTATTTCAAGAGGAAGTAAGTGGTTGTGGTGTGGATGATGATTTGACTTTATTTCTGACCCGACGGTTACGTGATGACTGTACAGTAGGGAAAGATTTCGGTGAACGCATAAAAACCCAGGCTCCTAAAAGTATGCAGTAGGTCAGGATAAATGGTGCAAGCCACCAAGGTAAATAAGCTGACAAACTATCATAAAACTGTCCTAATCCAATTCCCAAACTGTTACATAATGAGATAATCGGCTGATATATCAACTCCAGACATACTTCATATATATTGGTGGTTAAAATGGGTTCTGAAAGCACCTCTTCATAGTAACGGATGCATTCATCTGATGCTGGACGAGGTGATAAATATCGAGTGAATATTTGAGACCAAGGACGTTGGTGTACAGGCTTACAATCGTCGGGTGGACCATTATACCGGGACAAAACGGACATTTTCTGAGCCAATCGGGCATTATACTTTTTGTAGATAGACTGGCAAATTATAAGGAGCAACAGGCCACAAAACACTAACATTGAGAATCGATGCCGAGAACGGTATAAGAATACTGACAGCCATATTACAAGTACTAAGAGAAATAACATTGAGACCCAAAATAGCGGTTTATCAGCTAACCACTGAAATATGCATGAATTGTTTGAAACCACAACAGGGTGAATAATTTCCGAAAAAATATCATTTATCAAGTCAGGTGATATATGGTTTTCAGAGAAGTTATTCAAATCGCAATATTTGTTCAGTGTATAAATATCTTGTTCCTGCAACACAAATTCCAAAAGAACTTTGACTGGAGTTTTCAAGGGTGTGCTTGGCGAATTCGCCGGATAAAGGTTCCGCCATAGAGTTCGTACAAGAATTTTATGTAGCTCTCGATGGTGGTTGACAGCAACAAGATCTGATGTGTCACTGACTGTCAGTAAAGAATTAGTGCTCCACTCATTAGATGCAGCCTGTTCTTGGTCTGCAGAAGACCCTCCGAACATGTCATAGGGATCCACATCGGCTCGTGATCCGCATAGCACCAGGATAACGAGAACTCCAGTTAAAATGAACTAAAAACCGAAACAAACCAGTTAGAAGTTTAAAGCATTCTACTGTTTAGAACCAATAATTCAGAGGAACTAATATATTTAGTGCCAAAATAAAAGTACATACACATGTGCAAACAGGTCCTTTTATTCGAGTTCTTCTTCGATTTCTCGCCCTAAAGAACGACCAGCAACCATTGTTTTGAACTTCTGTAAGGCAATAAGCAATGAAAAATTCATGGTAAACCTGTATCTTTTATTCGAACTATACAAACAACTGCATATTCCACTCAAATAATGAATACAGAGAAACTTGGGATTCAGTCGCAGCAGGAAGCTACGAACAGTTCCACTAACGTATATCAACCTCACCTGAAAATAGTTGCTAAGTTGTGCTTATATCAGATTACTTGTAAGAACTAGAAACTTCTCTACAGCCTGATGCTGAAAAGTTGGATGAGATACCCAGTCTTGTGAGTAGTTGTAACTGGCTTGTCAGGGGTTAGTCAATGTCGAACTGTTTTTTCTTAGTGCCAAACTAACTCTATCGATCACATAAGATTCGACTTCAACGTAATCTAAACTATACAACATTGTGCATGCAAGATAATTCCATTAAGGATCAATTTTTTCCGGTTGCGATTAATGAGGAACAGACTAGGTGTTGGAAAATAAACTAGGTAAGTATGATAGACGCTTTGCACAGCATATTTGCCAGATGGGTAGGAGTATGCACCGAAACTAACTCTTGACAGTGAAAACAGATAGGCAATAGGTAACACGTTACAACTTCAATCAATGTAGTTATTACGCCACTACAAGACTACCAACCAAAAGTTCACGACTGGATGTAATATCATCTACCCATTACCCGCATGTATTACGAAAAAATCATTAGTGTCATTATGATCACGACAGTAAACGAGTGAACTTATGCTGATGGTTGGATTGCGGTATGAAAAAGTAACGGCCCTCCGTTTAAAAGACATTTCCATCTCAAGGATGCAGGCAGGAAGTTGCTAATTAAAGGCGACGGAGGTACTACGTAGTGTATGAATCAAAGGTATTTCCGTCAGACTGGTCTACTTTGACCATCCTACCTAGTCTATAAAAAAGGAGAGGTCTTACTATGACAACCATAGGGGGATTAGTTTGACTAATGTCGTATCCAAAATCCTAGAATCCATAGTTATCTGACGCCTAATCGATATCAAGAACAGCAAACTCGAGAAAACCAGGGAGGTTTCAGATCTGGACGAGGGTGCATCTATCATGTTTTAATTTTCCGATAGGTCCTGGAACACAGATATACTTACTGGAGGCTGAAACCTGTCATATATTTCGACCTGGAGGCGGTATTTGGCTCCGTCGACCGCAGTGTTATGGCAGCGTTTACTTTTGAAGGAAGTACCGAAGAAGCACAGAATGCTTATCAAACCTCACTACTTCAACCCATGCAGTTGTGTAAGAGCTTATGGGGAGTTTTCATCACAACTGGCGGTAACTGTGTCCACCACGGATACCCGATGTCACCGTTCTTGTTTAACTTTGTCATAGATGTACTAATAAAGACACAACCTTAAGTGCATCTGACTTCATAGGAACTGGTCTACTCCCTGAAGGTCATCTGATTAACTTGGAGTGTGCAGACGATACTGTCTAGTTAAGTGAAGATGTCGACAAAATGCAGGGTCTTTTGAACACGTTGAGCAGAAATCTGAATATGTTCAGCATGCGTCTCGCACCTGTCAAATGTAAGATGATGCTTCAGGACTGGTCTGCTTCAAGCTCTTCCGGTTTAATGGTAGCGAGATAACAGGCGGGACGCGGGGACCACTTCACCTACCTAGAGGAGTTGTATTGAGCCAGTACAGAACGAACGTTTGGCATTTGTCGATATGCTGCATGTGGCGCAGACTAGCGAGACATTTGACCATCAATCAAAGGACGACGATACTGCAATGCAGTCCATTCCGCTGTTATCCGGTTGTTTGAATTAGAAGACATGAAGCACTTACAGGGTTTTGATCACAGGTGTCTTCGTAGCGTTCCTTGCAGTTGGTGAAATCACCGTGTGAGCAATGCTGACATCAGGTTGAAAGGTACTGGGTAAGCCGACTGACGAGATTGTGAACCTTAATCGTCTAAGTTGGTTCGAAAATGCGTTGCGCGTGCTGACCCACTGCTTACCTCGACTTTGCATTCCACAAGGGGGGGGAAGGGAAATAGATTAGGTTGAGAGCCAGTTCCGGGTGTGAAGACCAAAACGTGGCATGAATTGACGAAGTCCCTGGATGTCGGTCTGAGCCATGCAGGGAGGGAAATATGGACTGGCTGAATGGAGTCCAGGAGACGGTAAGAATCAGTGGTTGATAACTTTTGGTGACATGGTTAAAAATCAATCACAATAACACAGATGTATTCCCTCCTTAACATCTAAAGCGTAAATATTCGCACTACCCCTTATCTTCAAACTGTTTATTCTTTCGCAACTTTGTCTGCTTTGATACCACTCTTATTCTATCTGTTTTTTGTATACTACTGTGAAGTATCGCAACTCGAGCCGACGCACTTACGTGTGAGGTCATGCACTGATGTTTCACGTGTCTCACATTTCAACGATACTGTATTTCCAGTGTGAGAAAAAGCAAGAAGGTAATAATCGAGAATAAAAAAAACATGTACTGAAGAGAAGGAAGTAACGAAATTCAAAGGTCATAAAAAATTGACTACTTTCATCATATCCTTTACACCGTCAAGATTAGCGGCCACATTGGAATGTGACAAAACCCAGAATGGTAAGAAACTTGGATAAAAACAATTGTGGTATCTTTCAAGCGACAATAAATCACCGATGCTCTGAATATTACGTGAGTTTGAGAATAATCCAGGGGGTTGTTTATAAGCCTATACTACTACTGCAAAAAGTGGTTAGAAAGTGTGGTATTTACTGAAAACAATAGGATATGCCATGCGCTCCAGGATAATACCAGATATGTAAATACAAATGCTATGATGTAGGCCAACACGCCTGGTTAACTAGTTCACTAACCGTCGTAAGCCCGGATAAAGAGGGAAGGTTGGGTATAAGGCTAGCAACCCCACCCCATAGAACCAATTCAATCGCTAAAGAAACTTCGAAGCACGAAGAAAATACAAAAATAAAATAAACTCATTCCACGTCGGAATCGGGGAGACGAAATGACACCGGTTGGTGAAGGCCTTCGGGAAGCCGATTGGCCAATGTGTCTTCTCACCCTCGATGAAAGCAAAAGTAAACATGGGGACATGGAATGTCCGCACTATGTTTGAACCTACTAAGGCTGCTCAGACTGCAGAGAAGATAAGAAGGTATAGCACAGAAGTGCTAGGAATCTGCAAAAGCAGGTGGAATGGAAGTGGGCTCTCCAAACTGTCAACTGGAGAGTCAATAATCTACTCCGATATTGTCACCCAGACGACAACCACGAGCACAGCACACTGCGTTTTCGAGTGGCTATTATGATGTCCCCAAGAGCATCGAAGGCTCTCATGCAGTGGAAACCAATCTCCTCCACGACCATCACAGCAGGATTCAACTCAAATGGAAGGAAAGTCACAATCGCACAATGCTACACACCTAAAAATAATGCAGATGAAGGGAAGAAGGAGGGATTCTACAGACAACTACAATCAGCACTGGACAAGACCTCAGTTGGCGATATCAAAATTCTAATGGGCGACGTGAATGCCAAACTGGGAGCAGACAACACAGGAAGAGAACTAACCATGGGTCGAGAAGCACTCGATGAAATGAACGAGGATGGAGAATTGTTTGCAGACTTCTGAGCATTTAACGATTTGATGAGTGGAGGCACTGTGTACAACCACAAGGACATTCACAAAACGACATGGATTTCACCAGATGGACACACTAAAATCCAGATCGACTTCATCTCAATTTCGAGAAAATGAAGACGCAGCCTACTTGACACAAGGTCAAGAAGAAGAGCAGATGTAGGCTCGGACCACTCACTATCTAGTGCAAGTAACCTACCTACAAAATCAAGTTTAAGGCCTTCAAAGAAGTTGGCGATAGACCACAGTTCAAGTTCAACAACCAGAACAGAAACTGAACTGAAGGACGAAACTACAAAGGACATCTCCACGTCAGCCATCAGGAAAAATTGGGAGACATTGAGCAACATCCCTGAAGGAACCTGCGTGGAAGAACACTGGAACTCTTTGAAAGAGATGTGGAAAGAAACCCGCATAACCGCATAAGGAAAGAAGGAAAAACATGACAAGGAATGGATCTCGACTGACACATGGAAACTCATAGGGGAGAGGAAGGTGGTGAGGCAGGAGATAAACCAGGGCAGGAATGAACAACGAAAAGACGAACTGAGTACAACGTATAAAACGCTGGACAAAGAAGTGAAGAGTGCACGCAAAGGCAAAAGACACTTCTACAACACACTGGCAAGTGAAGCAGAACAGGATGCAGGCAAGAGAGATCTGACAACACCATATCAAATGAACAGGTTACTATCTGGGAAGAGATCAACGCAGATGAGACCAATGAAAGTTGGTGAAGGAAACTTAGTCAACAAAGAGGAGAAACAAAAGAAACAATGGGCTGACCACTTCAAAAAGTTCTTGGATCGACCACCACCACCACCACCTGCAACTCGTCCCGAAATACCTCCAGGAACCGGAGAACTGCCAGTGAACACAGACCCACCGACAAAAGCAGAAGTGAAGTCCTGGACGCCACGCCATTAAGTTGCTGAAATCCGGGGAAGCAGTAGGACCACGTGGAATTCCGCCAGAAGCACTGCAAACAGACGCAGGGACGACGGCGGACATGCTCACACCGCTATCGCGCAAGGTTTGGAAGGGAAGGTACCTGCAGATTAGAAGAAGGGCTATCTTGTCAAACTCCCGAAGAAGGGCGACCTAATTCTTTGCAAGAACTGGCGCGGAATCATACTCCTGTCCACTCCAGTCAAAATATTAGGCCGCATCATCCTGGAGAGACTAAAGGATGCGCTGGATTCAAAACTACTACCCGAACAGGCTGGCTGGCTTCAGGAAGTACAAATCATGTGCGGACCAAATTGCAACGCTTCGTATCATCATAGAACAGAGCATAGAACGACAGAATGGCAACTCTCTACCTCAACTTCATCGATTTTGAAAAGGCCTTTGACAGCGTCGACCGAGAAGTAATTTGGCAACTGCATCAACACCACGGAATACCACAAACCTTTACCAACCTCATTCAACAACTGTTTGAAGACGCTACATGCCAAGTAGTCCAAAATGGAAAGCTCAATGATGCTTTTGGAGTGAATACAGGGGTAAAACAATGCTGTCTACTATCACCGATCATCTTCCTGATTGTGGTCGACTGGATCATGCAACAAACAGTGAGGAGCAAGAAGAGGGGGATACGCCGAACCAGGGAAAAGATCCTAGAAGGTTTGGATTTCGCCAATGATTTGTGTCTAATGTCACACAAACTTAAAGATCCGCAGGCGAAAACTAACGAGTTGACAGAAGAGGCAGCGAAGACGGGACTTCCTTCAGGTGAACGTAGAGAAGACAGTGATGAAGATACCCAACGAACAACAGCATCAACAACAAGCACCAATCATCATCAGCGGGAGAAATGTGAAGGAAGTAGTCTCTCACCCACACCTACCTAGGCAGCACCGTTTCAACTACAGGCGGCACAGACGAGGACGTCAAGGCCAGGACCGGAAAAGCAAGACAGGCTTTCATTAAACTGAAATCAGTGTGAAGATTTACTGCACTCAGCACAAAGAACAAGATCTAGATTTTCAACACCAACGTCAGTGGTTCTATATGGTTCAGAAACTTGGCGCCTTACGAAAAGCATTTCCAACACACTACAGACATTCATTCATCAACAGCTGCCTCCTACGCTCACTCGATACTAAAGATCAAATGGCCAGAAAGAATAGGCAACAGGGAACTCTGGCAACGAACTAACCAAGAACCCTTTCACTCAATAAATATGTAGAAGTGGGGGTGGATTGGGCATATACTGAGAAGACCATTCGGATATTACGCGCCAAGCCGTCGAGTGGAACCCAGATGAGGAACTGCGAGTTGGGCGTCCATGGGTGACATGGGGGTGATTGTGTGAGGAAGAAATGAAGGCTTCTGGGCTGTCACGGAGTCAGGCTCAAAAGTTTGCGGAGAACAGAGTGCACTGGAGACGTGCTACTGAAGCCTTATGTTCTATTAGGAACCCGGGAGACAAATAATAACAATGGCGTAGGCAGGGATCAAAGAAATATTAAGTCCAGTAACAGTCAACAGATAAGTCGTAGAAGTGGAAATAATTCGTAGTGTTCGCTGAAAACTATGCACTGACTTGCATTGTCGAATTCGACAGTGCAATGATCCATTATTTTGAAGCAATGGATCACCGGTAGAAAGAATGACTTTCTGAAGAAACAGCAGTAAAGAAGTCAACATCCTTAAATTGAAATTACTGCTACAGCAATGTGTCCGAAACAAATCTATATCTCAGGGTTAGAAGTGTTTTCGCTCACATGAAAAATCAGCTGTAGGAGCTTCAAGATAATGACACGATTATCAAGAAGGAAGATATACTATTACTTACAGACTGGATGGAAGGTAGGGTTTCAATAAGCCTCAGGAATACTGATGGGCTAAGTGATTGTTGGAGTACCTGCAACAACTGGTTAGGTTGACCGCAAACAGAAACAGCGACCGCAAAGTGTTTGACCCCTTCATCCAATGAACCCATACTGAGTGCTGTCTCCCCTTGCTGTATTTGTTCAAGAAAAAATCTCTGCATAGCAGATGGATCATTGGTAGGGGGTAGTGGGAACGAAGATGCCTTTTGAGCTTCACGAGCCTTCTGTTCCAATCTCTCTGAAGTCCATTAAATGACCTACTTAGTTAAACTAACTTTTTCTTAGGTTTTTCCTGAAGTCTGGGTGACTCCGGCGCTTTTTATCAAAATATATACAATATCCGACAAAAAGCATGCCAGCCCCAGCAGCTACGTAAGGAAAAACCCCACGGAACATCTTAATTACAGTACGCGCCTCAACACAGCTTTTCAATGAAGGCGCTGTTTTTCTGAATCTAAAAGTATATCATATCAAACTTCAAACTTCGTGTTGTAGAATTAGTGAACGGCGGTTCCTTGGGTTCTAACTCTGTCTTATTGGAATGCGTTCTGAGTTTGGAATCGTCACAATTATCTTCCCGGTTCTGAAAAACCTCAAAGGATAGAGATACGATTAATTAATTAATCTGATCTCAAGGTAGTCCATTGTTGACTAAACAAATCGTATGCAGATAAAAGAACACTGAATTGGTAGGTTTCCACTTCTGTTTTTAAACAGTTTGTGATAGGGCAGAAGTTTTCCGAAAGCTGTGGACTTAATTATGACTGTAGTTAGCTTTTGAAGAAGTCCGATTATATGGCCTAAGCAGTTTTCCCAGTCGTATTCTCATCTTTTCCGTATGGTGGGGTATGTAAGTAGAGTTCCCGTGGAACTATCGTCTTTGGACAGAAAACGTCGTCCTGTTGGGGTGGCATACTGAGTAGATGGTCATTTAGGCTGCTTCACTGCCTTCCACAGTCTGGAATGAGTAGGTTGATTTGACCTAGGCGCTTTGTATATGTTTTGCTTATTACTCCAACGATCGACATTGTCACTGTGTACCTTGTTTAGATTACTTACATCTCTCTTTTGTAGGAGAGGGACTATCGTCCTGAAGACCTCCAAGTGCGGTGTTATGTAGATTTTAAATAGTATGCGGATTAGTTCAGGAGTCGCTGCTCCACGCTGCCTCCCTAAAATTTGCAAGATGGCTTTCGCCTAAGCTACCATCCCTTATGTTTGGCACTAATATCAATTGTATCCGAGAAGTTTAGTCGTAGATCTTTCTCTTTGGGCATCCTGGTGGGTTCAAGCTTGTTGGAGGCGTAGCTGGTTCTCATTACCTCCAGCGTGTGAAGACACATAACCTTGCGCTTCTCCAAGCAGTCTCAGTTGACTAGGTATTCAACTAAAGCGGATCGTCTTGGGGCATACAGGGATTCTCGCCTCTACATTATTATTTATTATTTGTCTCTCGGGTTCCTAATAGAACATAAGGCTTCAGTAGCACGTCTCCAGTGCACTCTGTTCTCCGCAAACTTTTGAGCCTGACTCCGTGACAGCCCAGAAGCCTTCATTTCTTCCTCACACAATCACCCCCATGTCACCCATGGACGCCCAACTCGCAGTTCCTCATCTGGGTTCCACTCGACGGCTTGGCGCGTAATATCCGAATGGTCTTCTCAGTATATGCCCAATCCACCCCCACTTCTACATATTTATTGAGTGAAAGGGTTCTTGGTTAGTTCGTTGCCAGAGTTCCCTGTTGCCTATTCTTTCTGGCCATTTGATCTTTAGTATCGAGTGAGCGTAGGAGGCAGCTGTTGATGAATGAATGTCTGTAGTGTGTTGGAAATGCTTTTCGTAAGGCGCCAAGTTTCTGAACCATATAGAACCACTGACGTTGGTGTTGAAAATCTAGATCTTGTTCTTTGTGCTGAGTGCAGTAAATCTTCACACTGATTTCAGTTTAATGAAAGCCTGTCTTGCTTTTCCGGTCCTGGCCTTGACGTCCTCGTCTGTGCCGCCTGTAGTTGAAACGGTGCTGCCTAGGTAGGTGTGGGTGAGAGACTACTTCCTTCACATTTCTCCCGCTGATGATGATTGGTGCTTGTTGTTGATGCTGTTGTTCGTTGGGTATCTTCATCACTGTCTTCTCTACGTTCACCTGAAGGAAGTCCCGTCTTCGCTGCCTCTTCTGTCAACTCGTTAGTTTTCGCCTGCGGATCTTTAAGTTTGTGTGACATTAGACACAAATCATTGGCGAAATCCAAACCTTCTAGGATCTTTTCCCTGGTTCGGCGTATCCCCCTCTTCTTGCTCCTCACTGTTTGTTGCATGATCCAGTCGACCACAATCAGGAAGATGATCGGTGATAGTAGACAGCATTGTTTTACCCCTGTATTCACTCCAAAAGCATCATTGAGCTTTCCATTTTGGACTACTTGGCATGTAGCGTCTTCAAACAGTTGTTGAATGAGGTTGGTAAAGGTTTGTGGTATTCCGTGGTGTTGATGCAGTTGCCAAATTACTTCTCGGTCGACGCTGTCAAAGGCCTTTTCAAAATCGATGAAGTTGAGGTAGAGAGTTGCCATTCTGTCGTTCTATGCTCTGTTCTATGATGATACGAAGCGTTGCAATTTGGTCCGCACATGATTTGTACTTCCTGAAGCCAGCCAGCCTGTTCGGGTAGTAGTTTTGAATCCAGCGCATCCTTTAGTCTCTCCAGGATGATGCGGCCTAATATTTTGACTGGAGTGGACAGGAGTATGATTCCGCGCCAGTTCTTGCAAAGAATTAGGTCGCCCTTCTTCGGGAGTTTGACAAGATAGCCCTTCTTCTAATCTGCAGGTACCTTCCCTTCCAAACCTTGCGCGATAGCGGTGTGAGCATGTCCGCTGTCGTCCCTGCGTCTGTTTGCAGTGCTTCTGGCGGAATTCCACGTGGTCCTACTGCTTCCCCGGATTTCAGCAACTTAATGGCGTGGCGTCCAGGACTTCACTTCTGCTTTTGTCGGTGGGTCTGTGTTCACTGGCAGTTCTCCGGTTCCTGGAGGTATTTCGGGACGAGTTGCAGGTGGTGGTGGTGGTGGTCGATCCAAGAACTTTTTGAAGTGGTCAGCCCATTGTTTCTTTTGTTTCTCCTCTTTGTTGACTAAGTTTCCTTCACCAACTTTCATTGGTCTCATCTGCGTTGATCTCTTCCCAGATAGTAACCTGTTCATTTGATATGGTGTTGTCAGATCTCTCTTGCCTGCATCCTGTTCTGCTTCACTTGCCAGTGTGTTGTAGAAGTGTCTTTTGCCTTTGCGTGCACTCTTCACTTCTTTGTCCAGCGTTTTATACGTTGTACTCAGTTCGTCTTTTCGTTGTTCATTCCTGCCCTGGTTTATCTCCTGCCTCACCACCTTCCTCTCCCCTATGAGTTTCCATGTGTCAGTCGAGATCCATTCCTTGTCATGTTTTTCCTTCTTTCCTTATGCGGTTATGCGGGTTTCTTTCCACATCTCTTTCAAAGAGTTCCAGTGTTCTTCCACGCAGGTTCCTTCAGGGATGTTGCTCAATGTCTCCCAATTTTTCCTGATGGCTGACGTGGAGATGTCCTTTGTAGTTTCGTCCTTCAGTTCAGTTTCTGTTCTGGTTGTTGAACTTGAACTGTGGTCTATCGCCAACTTCTTTGAAGGCCTTAAACTTGATTTTGTAGGTAGGTTACTTGCACTAGATAGTGAGTGGTCCGAGCCTACATCTGCTCTTCTTCTTGACCTTGTGTCAAGTAGGCTGCGTCTTCATTTTCTCGAAATTGAGATGAAGTCGATCTGGATTTTAGTGTGTCCATCTGGTGAAATCCATGTCGTTTTGTGAATGTCCTTGTGGTTGTACACAGTGCCTCCACTCATCAAATCGTTAAATGCTCAGAAGTCTGCAAACAATTCTCCATCCTCGTTCATTTCATCGAGTGCTTCTCGACCCATGGTTAGTTCTCTTCCTGTGTTGTCTGCTCCCAGTTTGGCATTCACGTCGCCCATTAGAATTTTGATATCGCCAACTGAGGTCTTGTCCAGTGCTGATTGTAGTTGTCTGTAGAATCCCTCCTTCTTCCCTTCATCTGCATTATTTTTAGGTGTGTAGCATTGTGCGATTGTGACTTTCCTTCCATTTGAGTTGAATCCTGCTGTGATGGTCGTGGAGGAGATTGGTTTCCACTGCATGAGAGCCTTCGATGCTCTTGGGGACATCATAATAGCCACTCGAAAACGCAGTGTGCTGTGCTCGTGGTTGTCGTCTGGGTGACAATATCGGAGTAGATTATTGACTCTCCAGTTGACAGTTTGGAGAGCCCACTTCCATTCCACCTGCTTTTGCAGATTCCTAGCACTTCTGTGCTATACCTTCTTATCTTCTCTGCAGTCTGAGCAGCCTTAGTAGGTTCAAACATAGTGCGGACATTCCATGTCCCCATGTTTACTTTTGCTTTCATCGAGGGTGAGAAGACACATTGGCCAATCGGCTTCCCGAAGGCCTTCACCAACCGGTGTCATTTCGTCTCCCCGATTCCGACGTGGAATGAGTTTATTTTATTTTTGTATTTTCTTCGTGCTTCGAAGTTTCTTTAGCGATTGAATTGGTTCTATGGGGTGGGGTTGCTAGCCTTATACCCAACCTTCCCTCTTTATCCGGGCTTACGACCGGTTAGTGAACTAGTTAACCAGGCGTGTTGGCCTACATCATAGCATTTGTATTTACATATCTGGTATTATCCTGGAGCGCATGGCATATCCTATTGTTTTCAGTAAATACCACACTTTCTAACCACTTTTTGCAGTAGTAGTATAGGCTTATAAACAACCCCCTGGATTATTCTCAAACTCACGTAATATTCAGAGCATCGGTGATTTATTGTCGCTTGAAAGATACCACAATTGTTTTTATCCAAGTTTCTTACCATTCTGGGTTTTGTCACATTCCAATGTGGCCGCTAATCTTGACGGTGTGAAGGATATGATGAAAGTAGTCAATTTTTTATGACCTTTGAATTTCGTTACTTCCTTCTCTTCAGTACATTTTCTTTTATTGTATGAGAGTCATGCAATATTCTATGTTTCCTCACAAATGTGCAGGATTCACAGCCGGCTGTTGTACGTCCACCCTTCGTCGGATGAACGTCTGTTTTAATACCACTTCATTGGCTGACAGGAGCTCAGATCCTCAAATTCATGTCACAGCTGATGTAAACACTGTTTTGTAATGCTAACATGTGTCCACATTCAAGCTATTGTCACTTGCCGTGCTACCATGCACGACAACATAGACACAAGCCATTAGATTAGGTCGTTGATGTAAGAAAGGTTGACATTTGAAGGTTTGGTATCTGATAGTAATGAAGATTTGTACGTATAATTCACACTGGGGTATGGCACATTTTCAAGGGGTATGATGAACGTCAGCTCTCTTCTATCAGAC